CAAAATGAATAACCAAACACAAACGTGTTGACAGAAACAATAAAAGTTTTTTTGTAGTGGAGTAATAAGTTCCATAACCCGGGTAGAAATATAAAATAATTCCATTTTGGAATAACTCAACAAGTTACAAATATCATTATTGTATAATAAAGAGTAAACTGTTGAGAGAAATTAATACAAAGATACGGAAAAATATTAAAATAAAACACTCGAAGAGAACACAAACTAAATGTTAGAACACAAGTACGGCCAAACGAGAAATGATAGTATGGTAGAATTGAATAGGGGGAGTCACATGCTTAATGAGAGTGTATTGCACTCTCATTAGGGGAGGGTTGTCACAGGATGATTTGCATGAAAGACATATTGGAATGAGTCATTTCCAATGGAGGGGAGGCAGAAGGCTTGTGGCATGCGTGAAAAATATTTTTTGCATATAGAGGGTGTCTATTTATGTGAGTGGAGGTAATGTACCATATCAGAAGCATAATTTTTGAAGCATTGGTTCTCTTCAACTGCAATGCGTGTTTTTGATATCTTTTCATAAAACTTGTACAATCTCACTATAGTTACTGTTATATACTCCAAAAACTAAAACTGTTTACTTACATATATATCCAACATATATGAATAAAGCAGTAAGTTTCAACATATATGAATAAAGCAGTAAGTTTTAACATATATATGAACAAAGCAGTAAGTTTTAACATATATGAACAAAGCAGTAAGTTTTAACATATATGAACAAAGCAGTAAGTTTTAACATATATGAATCAAGCAGCAACAAAATCTTTTGCAAAACTTTACCGAACATTTTTACAATAAAGTCTAGTTTAATATATTCACAGATTTCTAATGTATATTTATCAAGAAATGACTGAATTTAAAATGCGATAAAAGGAAACCTACCTATATAAACAACAACAATTCCACCAGCAGTTGATGCTATTTCATATGTTCCAATCTAAAAATAAAATATTATAATTTCTTTAAAGCATTCAAATACAAATACATTTTAAACCAATATCTATTATAACACTTAACTATAAGCTTTCAAATATCTACTTTTAGTATTTAGACAAACAATTGAGTAAAAAGAAAAAACATATGAGCTAGTGGGATTTTGTAATATATATTTTTTTTAAATCACTAAAAAATCATGTTCCTTTTTTTTTGGGGGGGGAGATTAATGAAAAATTGCATTAGCTCATTATGGCCACCACTTAATGGTAATCAGTTTTTGTAAGATTTAGAAAGAGCTAGAATAACTCCCTGTGGGAAATAAAAGATAGAGAGAAGAATTTAAGAATGAGGAAATAAATAGTAGAAGTGCTGAAATATAATCTAGTTAATCATTACACCAGGGATGTTGTTTGCCATTGGGCAAGAAGGGTAGTTATCCCCCTTCCCCTCCTAGCCTTTGCAGGATATAATATAATCATATATAGATTTATCAAAGTGTTCTTCACAAACTATTAAAAAGTTACAGTACAGAGAATGTTCTATATGCTGACACAACTGTGTCCCCCACCCCAGAAGTTTTCTTAAATTATGCCACTGCATTACACATTTATCTTTGAACTGACAAGTTCATTCCCACTAGAACAGTAAATCTATTTGAAAGATAAAACAAACTAATCTACATTTTTATCTAAATATCAAAATATCTTTTATCCATTTTGATGTAACAGTTGCTAAACTTATACTACTACTTCACATCTTCTAAACCAGCCAATGTAAAAAGAAAGTAAAGGTTGGATAGTATCTTCCTCAAATTTGTTTTCACTTACTTATTAAACTGTTTTAGGTATACAAATATACAGATCCAAAATTAGGCCTAAATAATTTGACTTTCATACTTCTGTCTTGAAATGTTATGGACTGAAACAATGTCACACCAAAAAAGTCAAACAATTTTCAAGTAATTACTATACAGTTAGTCTCACACCAGTAGTAGGAATATTACTAAAGATAATTATTAGAGAGATTCTACAAAAGCATTAGACAAGTTTCACAATAACAAAGACAGTCATGATGGATTTAGAAAGGGAAGGTTATGTTTTTCAAATTGGCAAACTCTTTGAAAATTTGTTGTAGGTGGTTTTTAAGATGCTTTTGATAAGGTGCCACAAAAGAGAACTTCCTGGGATAGGAAATAAACAAGTTAATTGAACAGTGAGTTGGTTAGATGGTAGAAGGCAAAAGACAATTATTAATGTGGCAAAGTCCCAGTGGATTAAAGTTAGAAGTAGTATCTCAGGGTTCACTGCTATGATTTTTTCTATTTTTGGTTTTTGTCAACAACACTAATAATGGAATGTGCATTATGTTGGTTAATATTGTGGATGATACTAAATTAATGTATATTTCAAATTCTGTTGTATATGCTGTATGTTTGGAGAGAGATTTATACTATTTGATGGGTTGGGCAAACATCAGGTAGCTGCCTTTTGATATTAAAAAAAGGTTATGCATACTGGTTACCACATCATTCAATACTTTTGTAGCCTTGGTGAGGATCTCTAGGTGCAGATGATGATGAAAAATACTTAGGTAGAGCTATTCTAAATTCTTTAAAGCTTTCAAGACATGTTAAATTAACTAATAATAAGGCTTTGTCTGTTTGTTGAATTTTGAGTACAGTCACTCAAAGGCCATCTACATTAGCCATCCCCAATTTTAAGATGATAAACTAGACAAAAGGCAGCTAGTCAGCATCATTCATCACCAATTCTTGGGCTAAAATGAACAGTTGGATTGACTGTCATGTTGTAAACTCCTATGGTTGAAAGGGTGAACATGTTCAATTATATGGTTTGATCCCAGGATCCACAGATTGTGGTGAGTCAAGCACACTAACCACCAGGCCAGTAATGAGATAAACAGGATGTCATGTTGTTTGTATTGAAATTACCAGTGTATAATTCATATTCTACAAAACCACGTAGACAAGTTTCATATTACATCAGAGAGTTGTGATGGATTTAGAAAGTGAAGGTTGTGCTAACTTTTTTGGAAATATGGTGTACTTGGACTTTCAAGAAGTCTTTGATAAGGTGCCATAAAAGAGACTTCTTAAGATAGTATATAAGCTAGTTAAATAGATTGCAAGTTGGTTGTGTAGTGGAAGCCACAATGCTGTTATTAATGTGGGAAAGTTACAGCGAATTAATGTTACAATTAGTATATCAGGGTTTTCCACTAGGTTTTTTACTATTTCTGAATTTCATTAAAAACAACATAAATAATGGAATAAGCAGCATGCTGGTTGATATCATGGATGATTAAAGATACAAGTATTATCTCACTGTTATATGCTAAGTCTTTTACTATATCTGACTTTTATTAATAATACTAATGATGGAATAAGTAGCAAGTTGGTTAATACTGTGTATAATACTAAATTAATGATATTCTAAATTGTACTGCTGTTACTGCAGAGGTTTGTATAATTTGGTGAACTGGGCTGACACATATTAGATGCCTTTTAATGTTAATAAAAATTATGTTATGCATATTGGTTAGCATGTCATTAATTATTCTTAAAAGCCTTATTGGGTATCTGTAGGTGAAGGTGATGAGAAAAAATTTTGGCATACCCATTTCAAATCTTCTTAAACCTTTTAGACAAAACATATTGGCTAGTGATAAGGAAAACAGTATGTCTGGTTGCTTACATTGGCATCTTGAATTCAAGTAATAGGAAGTCATCAGTTCAATCTTTAAGGTGATAGTTAGACCTGTTTTGGAATATTGTGATCAGTTTTGGTCACCTTATTTAAGACAGGATGTTGAGTTGTTGAAGAGAGTTCAGAGAAGAGCTGCCAAGATGATTCTGGGTTTGGAAGGGCTATACTATGGGGAATAGGATGAAATCTTTTGATATGTTTTTGCCACAGACAAGAAAGCTTGGGGGAAGTACAATTAAGGTTCTTAAGATTGTCAGTTTTAGAATCTATAAATGTTTATAAATTTTACATAAACAATACTGCAGGAATTAAGGCTAGAACACAACTTTAAAATCTGGAACATTCTGGAATGACTCCACTTAAGGTAGTGTTCCTGATCAAGAATGATCAGCCTAAAGAATATTCATGATTTATTTTCACAAAATATAGAGAAAGAGAATGAATACCACAAAATTTTAAATTTTCAAAAGCTTTGTTCTTAGATCTTAAATTTATGGTATGATGAGAAATACCAAAAATAATACTTATCTTTATTATAAGTACTACAGAAAGAAGTTAAAGCCAATACTGACCGTTAACCCAAGTGCTATGATAAGAAATACAAAGGCTAGTAGTAGATAAATGAATCCTCTTCTTCTCGCAAACTCATAACCCACTGAGGAGCTTCAAAATATAAAATTAGAGAGTACATACATAAGATAAAAATGCCATTGACTGTTCATATTGATTTAAGTTCCATGCAGATAAAGAGTACATAAGATAAAAAACTGAAAGTGTAACATAGATAAAAACAAACTTGTACTGGGAAAACATAGTTGTGCTGTACTAAAGATTTTTACTGTATCACAGTTGTCTTCCCCAAATGAAACCAACACAATGAAACAGAGATAATCATACACACATTTAAAAAAAAATGTTGGTGTTTTTATGGAGATAATTTATTCCTATAAAATGATATATCATAGAATTGACAATAGATATTTCCAAATACATGGTCAAAACCCTAGACATAAAATTATTGTCAAATAAAAAACCTTCTAAGGAATTATATTTTTATATGGTGTATTGTTTGTGTTACATAAAGTAAGCAAGAACAAAGAATGCCAAGTTGAAAACATGATTATTCTAATAAACATAACCTGTTTTAATAACTTGAAGAAAAAGCATTTGTTAATACAAAAAAAAATAAAAAATACACATATACATAGACTTTATAGAATATATTTTGGTTCCATATTTTTGCTATATAAAATAATATAAAAATTTTTCTATTTAAATGTTTCCTTGAATTGTTTAAGCTGAAATATTAAAAATGGCTAGATAATCTGAATAGTTTTGAATAATTAAAAACGAATTTTGTTATAAAATAGGAATTTATGTAATCCTAAGCCTGAAGTAGCCACAGTTTGATTGCTTATATAAACTCTAAAGCTAAATAAGTCAGACAACACAAAAGTTTTTTTTTCTAAATTGGAAAGAAAGCATATTGTAATATGAAACATAATGCACATGTAAACACAAATAAAACAAAAAAGTAAAAAAATGTCATTTTCAATAATACCAGCATTCATCAAACTATGTCAAGCAATGGTAGAGAATGTCACCTAATACAGTTTCATATAACTTTAGTTGAAAAAGTTGATTACAATTTTAGTTGTATAAGTCATAGCATATACATACAATTCAAGGAGAACAAGGGACCTATTGGTCCATCTAGGCAATCTTATCCACTAAACTTTAATTTAAAATAAAAGTGAGATACTCAAAGCCAGTTCTTATTATTTAGCATTTAGTGTTAACTATTTATAAATAGTATAAAGTATTATATGTTTTTTTTTAAGGATAATTAAAGGTTCACAATAAAAACAGCTATGTATAAAGGCATTATTACATTTCCCTCTCTCTCCCCTTCAAAAATAAATATTTTCACTTTTTATGCAGTAATGTATAAGCTACACTTCTAAATCTCCTTTTCTTTTTTATATCTTCTTTTATATGTGCTAAGTAAGAAAAACAAGAAAACTACTTACACTTTTCTGCAGGAACAACATCTTGCCAATGAATTACTCAGGGTGTTGAACTAGAAATGTAAAATAAAAAGTTTACTTGAACATGATGTCATATGTTAAAAGTGAATACAAGCAAATGATTTGCTAAATTGTATGTTCTTAAATCTTGCACATATATTTTGCCAACAGCATAAGCATAACAGAAAACTAGCAGACCTTTCATATTATGGAATAAAGTATCAAAATTTATTTTAAAATAATAAACAAATATACAGATAACTGAACATTACCAATTTACTATGACAGTTAGTTTTATAGAGGGTTTAGTGCATAATATGGAAAATCTCTGGATCCTCAACACATTTTTACAACCCATGTCGTGATGTCTAGCCATGCTCTATCCAACAATTGTGCATCTTCACAATAGCCCTGCAGCATACTTTCATTGCTCCGTTTTAAAGCTGTCATGTCCAAAACACACAACTCTTCCCTACAGATTTTCCATAAGCCATCTAGTTTACAAGAACAATAGATTCCCAGGGACAATTTCAACACAGAAATCCATAAGCACTGCATCAATGGCCAAACCAATATGTCTTCATATGGAATAGCATGAATACTTATTTCATTCTTCAGCCATTTCACATATGTTATGATTGAATTGGAGGTATGACTAGAAACCTTATCTTCATGAATTCATACCCTGTTGACCTCATTTCAAGATCCAGATGGTGATTCCTCTTGATTATGTTGCGTACTGTTGCCTGGGGCATCAGTACTGACTTTTATCATTGACTTCCATGTTTGTAGATTCTCACCTGTTACATTAAAACACCTTACCATGACTGGGGATACAACTTGTTGCAAGTCTCTTTCTGGATGGTCCTGGTCCCCAAATTAATCCATATTCCTTTTTTTACTAATGCCATTTAGTACAAGAGATACCATAACTTGGAAGTTATAAAACCCTAATTTGAACCCATATTTATGATCTGAGGTATAAAAATGTTATGTCAGAAAAGGTTGTTATATGCCCTTCTCAAAAATGATCAATATTTAGTGCCATCTCCTTACCTATGAAATGCAAAGCAATGTTAAAATGTAGTTCAAAAAACAAACTATTCGTTTGTGACTTTATATCAGCTGTGGTTGTAGCATTATTTTAATTGGCATACTCAAAATTATGAAAGCTTCATTAATATAATAATACATTAAATGTGTAAGTGTGTAGATTAAAATGGAAAAATGTCTACTTCACTTGATGTTTTACTACATTCTGTAATCAAAAAAAGTTAAATTTTATTTCCTAATTTTAAGAAGACTATTTCTGAGGTCAAGAGACAAGACCCATTATTAGGGAATTGAGATAATAAATAAAAAATGTGATGTGGAAGAGATTAGGAACATTTTTTTGAAAAATAAACTGAAACTGCTTTTAATTCAAGGCAAGTAAAAGAAGTATAGGTATAAATAGAGAAAATCAAACCTATAGAAGAAGAAATTAGAGATAAATATGGTGAGTTTAAGAAATGTAAATTAATAGATAGAATAGAAGTTACATATCTAGACATAAGCTACAGATCTGGTTAAAAAAACTGGGAATCAAAAGGCATATAAGATGCAGCTGGTTGATAATGTTAAAACTTATACTTGGGATTTTTTTCTTAAATATTTTAAATGGAATAAAAATATTAAAATGGGGATTGAGCCCTATCAAGGATGCAGATGCCAAGAGTTTTGTGGAAGACTATATGATGACTGAACTTTTTAAATATTTTCTTCTCATGCATTTTACAAGAGAAGATGTTAGCAATATTCCTGACAATGAGAATTCTGTGGAATATACTGGAAATTAATATAATCACATGGATATTAATTCTCTGATGGTAAGTAAAAAGACAAATTAAAACTAGATAAAGTGCCAATGCCAGACACAGCTTTCCCAAGAATTTTAAATGAGGTCATAAGTTAGATGTAAGCCTCTATATTTACTTTCTTGTAGGTCAATAGACAGTGGGCAGATGAAGATAGAAGAGTTGCTAACACTACTCCTACTTTTAGAAGAGGTAACAATAATTTCCCAGGAAATCAGGGAAAAAGCCAGTTAATCTTACTTCTCTAATGGGAAAATTTAGAACCAACAAGGATTCATTAAAGGGAAATCTTACATTACTAATCTTTAAATTTGTAAGGATATTTCTTATCTGTATGATGGAAAAGATGTGAACTTGATGTACATACATTTGCAAAAAAGGCTTTAGATAAGATGCCAGCCAGAAAATTAGTTAAATGGATTGAAAGATGAGAGAAGGTAAATCATGATATTAACAAAGTCCAATGAAACTGTACCTTTGTTACTAGTGGGTGCCTTATGAGTCAATGCTTACTTGAGCCTTTGCTTTTTTCTTATATACATTAATGACACTTACAGAGGCATGATTAGTAACATTTGCTGTTGTAATTAAGTTATTTTCTTAAGTGTTTCCATCTGTATGACTGAAGAAAAAGACCTTGGGCACAGATATGTAACTCACATAACTAAAGTAGTTTCTATTTTTAGTAGTAAAATGTAATAGAATTTTAGGAAGTATTTATAGACATGTAAAGTCAAAATAGCTAGTTATCTCTTTAAACAAATCACTAGTTAAGCCTCACATGGGCCACTGTGCACAGTTTCTGATGCTTATTAGAAAAGGTTCAGAGGAGGCTAATGGGGATGGAAATCTTATCTTATGAGAATAGATTAAGATCTCAAAACTTATTTTCTCTGAAGAAAAGAAGGATGAAAGGTGATCTTATTGAAGTTTACAAGATTATCTGGGTGGCCAATTGGATAAAGGCCTTAAATTGGTTTCTTTGTGCTAAATTCTGAAGAAAATAAGGGGACAGGACATGAGATGAGGTTCCAGTTCAAACAATTTTATTTTTCTAACAGTGATTAGCTTACGAAATGTGTTATTGTAAGCAGTGGTGGAGGCCAGCATCTCACAAGAATTTAAGAGGGAAATTTATTATTTCTTGTAAAATAAAGAGGAATGGAGGTAATTTCTACTTTTCTTTTTCTTTGTGGTGAGTGTGCAGAGACAGCTGAAACATTGTGGTATTTTGAGGTATTTTTCATTATTTATAATGCTTCAAGAAGAGAAAAATATATGTCTGGGATGGCACGTATAACCAATTATGACAAAATAGTGTGGAAGAATTAACTAATGCATTAGAATGCATTGATGATGGTTGACCAAGAAAGAAAGTATATCAAGGCTGTATCGAAGTCGGCGGTGAGAAATATAAGATTATATTATTCTCAGACTGATGCTGACATGGCAGACAAATGAGAATGTTTATGCAAACTTCATTTGAGACTGGACTTGAAAATCATATCAGAAAAAGACTATCATCAGCCTAGCAGAGAAAACCTTATATGAGTTGTTTATATTAACTTGCATAAAACTTCAAATAAGGGATAGTCGGAACCTTTGAAGTAGTATTGATGTCCAGAAGATGACAATAGATACATGTAAAAAGGCAGCTGTGTTTTCTTCTTCTACCAAAGAGAATTGGTATAAGAACCCCTGTTTTAGCATTTAGCTGCCAAAGAGAATTGCTGCCAGTCTAACAGTTAGTGTCTTTGAAGAATTGCAGTCAGAATTTGAGTTTTGCTGCTGAAGATATGATGTATGGAACAGCCGTACCAGTGTCTCCCCTGCAAGGTCCAGAGAGTATGTCTCGCTCAAATTTCATGTAAGTAATCAATGCTACCTCTCTTGAATCGATTAATGTAACTAGAAGTTGATGTGAAACATATAGTAACTCAGAAATATCATTGGCTGAGCCTAGATTAGTAATATTTGAATAGTTACTGAAGTGAATAAGAGATTTGAGTATTGCAAGTTTCTTCAGAAATTGTTATACTAAACATTGAAGTATATTCTGAACCTCAGTCTCAATTCTTTATTCTAACCATAAACTTCCTTGAGTTAGTTACTTGTGTGCTCCACTCGCAACTGCACTGCTCAACTTAATATAAAGTTGTTTTGACTAATGGTAAAGTCGAGGCTCCAATAATTAGCCCATACAGCCTGCCTGTTACACAGCTTCGAAGGACCAAATCTTTTGTTCTCTATATGTTGTACTATATTGTAGTAAATTCATAATATCTTAGGAATATAAATATAATTGAACAACTAATTTTGAGTTTAGTCCTTTTTTACTTTCTATTCCATTTATTTGACCTATTCTCTTTAAGAGGAGAGTTTTCCTTTAATTTCATATAAATTGTTGCGTCAGCGAGGTCACGTGACTAGTATCACACCACCTCTTTCTAG